AGCACTTTGTGAACCTCCATGTGCAGATTTCGTGGCAGGCACAGCACGTTGGAGAGAACGTGGACACTCCTATAGGTCAATTTCTTCTTATAGGAAACTTCCACCGCCGGCTTGCCCGGGAACTACTTGTATATGTACTTTGTAGGTTTATGAGTATAGCCTGGTCGTGCCCCTCTGGCTACCAGCAACACCTAGAGACCTTATTGGTTCGTTCCTTCGCCTGTCCTGGTCATTCCCCGTCGAGGCAAAACGGACGACTCCGGAGGTCATTCCCCGCCTGGTCATTGCCGTAGAGAAGGCACTCATCAAATCCTGCGACACCGGCAACGCACGTTGTGGGGGCTCTTGGGCTCTTCGACATCCGTGACCAGCATGGCCAGTGAAACAAATGCTTCAGCAAGTTCGAAACAATGGAAACGGATGACACCCCGTTCGCTCTTTCTCCCCTCTCCACTATTTTAAATTACAAACACTGCAACAACTCGATCTTGAAAGAATAGCCTGCGAATCCCTAAATGCCTATAATAGTCGCATCCATTGTCTATGGATCACTTGTGATAACTCTCCTGCAAACAGGTGTGAACCCCTAAAGTCTTACAATAGTCGCATCCATTGTCTATTGATGACTTCTGATTACTCTCCTGAAAATCAATATGGACCCTCAAAACCACAAGAGCACCTCAAATGCAAGTGCCCAGCTTGGTCGCTGTTGACAGCTGCACTCCATCGCAACTTGTTGCTTTGTCATCATGCGAGTATCAAACGCAAGTTGTCAACTTTCCAAGAGGGAATAGTATACAACTTGCGTGAAAGTTGACAACTAACTATACTGGAAAACACCATATATTGGCGTCACCATACTCTTTCACCATCTAACGTTTAAACATAATGACTTGGATGATCGTATATACTGGATGGAAGAGGCAATCAGTCGTGTTTGTCTAAAAGCTTCATGCAATAGATTAGGGTCGTAGCCCCCCAACGCCTCCTGGTTGATAATTGGCCATTTACATCTCAGGACAAACACAACAACCAAAGAACTTTGCGAAGGTACAAATTCCTCATGGTTCTTGTACGCGGGTGAACATTACTTTTTGATACTTTTTGGATACTTTGGGTGAATCCATTAAATTCCCGAACATCTCCAACAAAATCGTCTGCAAAAAAAATATAAAACTTCAAATCTAATCCAAATCCCAGCAACTTCTACCAAGCCCACATGAAGGGAAGATTTATCCGGACCATCAGACCTGATTCACTAGTCCCTCATCGGACTCTCGCGCTTCTCGTCGCCTTGCATGTTCCCGTCCGGCAAGATCGCATTGGAGTCCTTGAAACATCCGCAGAGAAAACAAAAAACAAGACAATACCCTACAGTGCAGGTCAATGACCTCATTTCACTGAGTTGGTCATACAAAACTCTACTCAAGGAGAGAAAAGAGAGAAAAGACCAGGTTTGACTGGATCAGACTGGACTGTAGGGATATGAATGGATATGTGCGGGGTCAATGGAGGCAATCCGATTTGGAGGATCGATAGAATGAAATGATCCTTATATGCACTCCAACTCACATGGAAGTGGGAAGAACTGTTGTCGAGGAAAAATGCGGAAAGTTGTCTTCCAGGGAACCAGTTTCCACTTCCATGTTAACTGAGTTAGAGTGTAGATCCCCATCTAAACTGCTCGGATTGGCGAAACACCTACTCCAAACTTGCTGAATCCCGAGAAAGCCTAAAAGCAGGAACATGCAGAAATTCTTGTCGGATCTAGACACGGATCCGATCCCACTTGGAGCCAACAAGCCGTGATCGAGTGATCGACTGATTCGGATGGGAAGACATTCCGCACGTTCTACACAATCCTCACCCTCACCAATCCATGCTCTCAAATCCACACTCCGACGCCTTTGGATACCTTTAGGTTTGGATCAAAAGAGAGACAAAGAGAAAATGAGAGACCGCCGCTCGGATTGCAGCTGCAGCATCTTGGAACTCGTTATAGGGTTTCTTGGCAGACAAGAAGATCCCCCGCAGCGCCACCTGGCACGCGATCGGTCGTGTTCTGAGTGTGTGCTGAACGTGTTCTACCGGCTGAGAATTCACCTGTTTTTGACAATTTTTCTCTACCACCAGGTGGTCTTGGCCGTGTTAATCTACGGGGGAGCATGTCATAGCACCCAGCCAGCGATCGTGATTTATGTCAGGTCCCTAAAGCAGGTCTTTGATCTTCAAAGTGAGGTGAGATTGTATGAGTGAAAGGTGCATCTTTCAGCATCTTTACAGGGCGTTCGGATGATCCTCAAAAAAAACACGTATGAAGCATACCCCTTGCTAAAACACCATGAGCACCATGTCCCATATCAATTTCTACATCTTCAGGGCATCGTTCAGTTCGCATCCAAACATGTCTGGGAAGTTGATGGATATGCCTTGGATTTCCCATGGATACCATGATGAAGACGCAAACTAGCAAGTGGTGACTCCCTGTATTGAACTCCGCATCGAAACCAGCTCCGCCCAGATCTCGAACAGCGGACGCAGATTCTGGGACATCGTCCTTAACGTTGTCGCGGGTAGAGAGTCGCGGGTCCTTTTAAAAACTATAAATCTATACATCATGACCCCTGTTTTCATAGTTTTCATAGGAAGTTTGACCACATGTCGGGTGGTTGGTCCAAAATATCGCTGAGTCATTCAGCTTTTATAGGTATAGATCGGCGGATAAGCGCAGCGTCGAGTCGCTGAAACACCCAGGAGCAGCGACTCCTGAGGAGCACTCCCATGTCTATTACAACAAAACGTACCATGACGCAACTCGCCGAACTGCCGTGAAACCCCCGAAAAGACTACAGACTGATCGAACCAGCCACCAGCGATCTCGCCCGCCACTGGACTGTCCAAGGAGCCCCCATGGCGCACTGCGGATCTTCAAAGGCCGGAAAGCGCGGTGCCACCGTCTCGCGGAAGCACTCCTCTTCGTGGGGCGTGCCGAGGCACCTGGGTTCTTCGTCACCCGAACCGCGTGGAACGGCGCGGAACGGAAGGACTGGGGGGACCCTTTGAAAGCGGAGGAGCCTTTTTCAGCATGCAGAGACTGGTGAGTTTCACCAAGCCACATTCTTGGGTCCTTCTGGCTTGTCTTCTCCAGCTATGGTGATGTTGGTCTTCGGCCAGCATCTGAATCTCCTGTTGTTTGAGGGACTTTGAATACAATATGAGCATGGCATGCAGAACATATGTTGAATACACACAGCGCGTGTCCTCGTCCCCTTAGGCTTCTTTACCTTCTGGTCTTTTTTGACCCTGGCTTTTTGGAAAGCGTTCAATGTGATGAGATGAATTGAATTCTATGTTGGCCTGGTAGGCGTGCTGCGCACAGCTGACTTCACCGCGTCCTTGAGCTTGATGATGCCTTTCCTTTGGAGGCTGGAAAGGACACTTGACCTTTTGTTGGGCGGCAGACTCCAAACGTATAATCGCTTGCAAGGTTCATTTCTCAAAAAGATGCCAAGGAAGAGGTAAACGTTTGAACCAAAAGAACTACGCAGGGCGACTTACACACTTTGAAACATCAGCCTCAACATGGAGAGTCTTGAAAGCTTTCGCGTTTCGACCATTTCTCACTATCATCTACCCTCATCTAGCGGTCGTTCAGTTGGTGCCCACGGTGGTGATTTCAGCTGCCGCATCGGACAGCAGGGCTAGGGATCTAAAAAGCTTCGGAATGGCAGATTTCTCATCATTGAGCTTGCCATTCAAAAGGTACCAGACCTGGAGGAACATGTTTTTGTCAACAGCTGCCCCAGAAACAAACTCCCAGCCTCAAGCAAGGCACTCTGAGCTGTCACACTGGACTCTCGAGCACACGGATCGGCAGGAACCTCAACTTCGAAGTGTTCAGTTTAGGTTCGTTTGGAACAAGAATAAGGTTCGGGCTTCAGGCGTCGATTTGTACAACCGAGTACGTTTTGTTGAGGGAGGTGATTGAAGCAGTACACAGTCCTGCAACATAGCGGGTTCCATCGCCGAGAAAGAGAAACTAGATTCCAGCCTTGGATTCATCAGGCTGTGAATCTGTCCAAAATTGAGATTCACCGTGAGATTCAATGAGTACGGCGGTAGATGCTTTTCGCTTCAGCCTCCTTCCAGCTAAATTTCAAGTAAGTCCAAGTGCAGATTGGCAGATTGGCCAAGCCTTGAGTCCTCCAGGTCTAGCATGGGCACCGTGCTCATGGTCCTGATGAGTGAGTGCGCGTAGGACTTTTGGGCAAGGCTGAGAACGGTATAGTAGTTTGTTTCAAGGGTCCTGGAAGTGCCCTGATGAAACAAGACGTGTTTGAGCCGAAGACTGTAGCAATCCACTGGATATAGTCAAAGTGACTGATATGCTACAATGGTATAAGGAACCCATAGATGGTAGGAAATTTCCTTATAAGCACTACAACAGCCACATGTTTTGCTAGACTCTCCGGAATACAGCAGTGAACCTCATCTGAGGAACCAGCTGGGCCATGTGAGAGATGCTGGAAGCATCAAAATGGATCAAGGCATCAAATTCATCAACAGTCCTTTCACAGAGCCAATCCAATCTTGGGACTGGGGCAGGCTCAGCAAATGGCACAGCGAGCTTACACAAATATCGCACGGTTCGGGCCGTACATTCTGTCGGCTCAGCTTTCAGCAAAACGTCAGCCAAGGCAAGCAATTTCTTGCGCCGCTCCACATCGAAGCAACGTACCGGGCGAGGCGACTGTGGCACAGGAGGCAAAAGATCCATGAAAGCTTGGGGCCAAACCAAAACTGGCTCCTGAAGACAGTGGTGACTTTGAAAAACCATGATGGCTGAAAAACCCACAGTATAAGCACAGCTTCTCCTGAGACAGAGCGGCGTCAGAAGCAAATCTCTTCACTAAACAAATCACGTCGTTGTGCTGCGACGGCCATCTGTCTGAGGAGCATGCGATTCTCATATGGGCCGGAACGTCTGCCAAGGTCAAAAAGCGAAAGATGACAGTCAGCGCTGACAAACAAGCAAAACACTACTTACTACCCAGAACCTCGTCTTCGCAAAAAGAAGAAGCTGTGAGCTCCGCTAATGTCATCCTTCATGCCCCCAGCAAAGCGCACCGGGGCAGCCTCTAGCCTAAGATGAGGCTGCTGCTGCACAGATGCAGCCCCACTCAAGCTCAAGATGAGCCATCAACATGCTCTGCTCTGTATGCTACCGAATCGCCATGTCTTGAAATCCCGTACAGAGTCCAACTTTTCAACATGCACCTTGGCATTGCCTAGCCATGCAGATAAGTTCACCTTGTCGACAATGTACTCCAATTTCCTCACAATTGGATTGGATGTCAATGTCAGGTTTGGGAGACACGCAAACTTAGTGAACTTAGCAGCAGTTCGATGTCAAGTGTCTCCACAATGTCTCGGTCATCACTTAAGACATCCACCCACTTCATCGCTCGAGAAATTATTCCAAAGCACTGATCTCAGATATGCTGCGCATGATTAACAAACAAGATTTAGTTCTATTCGTGACTTGTTTCAAAACACATATGGTTGTTCTCACAACCAAGGTACCCAAGCATCCGTGCGTGTGTCCCACACGGGACATGCACACACCCACCATCTCCAGTCCTTTCTGCAAGAGGATGTAGCTGAGGAGCTTGAACATGGTGTTATTCTTCGACTCCTTCACGGTATTGTCCACCTGCCATGGATTTGCCAAGGAACCACGGCCCAACTATTCAGCATTGCACAAATACTGACTGGCAATTGATGAGAAGTCATTCTGAAAAAAACAGGCCATTGGCACCCACAGCAAGACCCGTCGGGGAGGATCAATGCTGTGGGAAGAACAGTGCTCGCTTACTTTGTCAAGGACACGACACAATGTTTCGGCCACCATGGACCCATCCCCCGGCACTCGGGGGTCCAAGGCATAAAGCCAAAGACCAATGTGGTGGGCCCAAATGCCCTGAACCTTTCCTTTTGGCCTGTCAAACTTCCCCACACTCTTCGAGATGTTGGAATGGCGCAATCTTGGGATGGCCCACTTGCTCTGATCCATTCCGTCCTCAAGAGTGTTGATTGAGCAAGTCATGTTTGTTATGGCACTGAATCATGGCGGATGCTGCAAACATATGTTGCTTTCTTTATGACTAGACCAAGCTTCTGCATGGATCACCAAAGTGCCTGATTCATCACCAGGTTTGCAATCCTGGAAGGTGTGGTGTATTGTGAGGAAGACTCACTAGTTACATAAAGCATAGTGGATGTCCTCCAAAAAGTTTTCCAGCTTTCTGTCTTGAGCAACGGCATCAAGATGCCCTTTGTATTGCCTGCTGATGGTGAATCGATCCAAGGCATCCTCAGCCATCAACAAACTTCACGCAGGCCTGTACACCTCGACCCTGAAAAGAACAGTGGTCAAACAAGCGTCATTGGAATCCTCAAAGGCTGCCTTGTACGCTGTGCAGTCATCGCATGCAGGAAAGTTGGTAGGGCTCGCAAATCGAAGCAAATTTGCCCACTTCTGGCAGTATCTGCGATGGAAGTGAGAATACCTGACTGGGACAATCTAAGTCTTACTCTGTCACCTTGCATGCTTGATTTCATTTTTTCAAGAAACGATACGTCTCCAGGACATTGGACATGCAGCATTCGCAAGTTACCAGGTGGTAAAAACCTGGTGGGGAGGTCCGACGGCTCTTGGCCGAAGTTGGATTCAACGATCCTGAGCCACGCTTCATCCCTGTTGGCCCCCTCCCTATGAAAAGCAAATGAACCATGCACCGAAGTTGAAGTGCAAACACAGTGTCTGAGTCCACAAAGCTTTGGAACCCATTACGTGCAATTTGAGCTCCATATCAGTCTCAATGGACTCTTCACCCACAGTGAAGTGCTCCTCTTCATCGGAGTCAGGATGTCCTGGAATCTCGATGCTGGTGTTTGGTGAGCTTGCACAAAAAAATCGCACAGTGTTTTCCTAGCGAAAGGTCCTTCCAAATCATCAGTGTGGCATCCAGCCTCCCACACGGCTACCATATCGCTAGGCTTGCCTGGCTTGCCTCGTGCTGAAGCATGTCGCAAGCGAGCTGCACGCTGGAACCTTGCCACAACAGCCAGCATCAAAAAGTGTCCAACCTTTTGTTAGGCAGACAAACGTGCCAAGCTGTTAAATGAGCTGGGAAGCTTGGTGGGCAACATACTGGCCTGGTTGATGTACAGCCGAAGAAAAAACTGATCAATTCGCCAATACTTGATGGGCGCCCTCTTCCTAACCTGAAGAAGAAAACTCATGAGCGAGTCCCTATCAAGAACGTCAACTCTTTGCTCTGCCAGTTCCTGCTGAGCAACAGCCCCAAAGCAACGGTACCGTCTGTCCAAATGGCCAGAACCAGCGGTCTTGAAACGATCAGACCTGATACCTAGCAGAGTCGCCAGACATTTGGGCGCAAGGCACTTCCCCAAAAGCACCCATCTCCGTTCCCCCAGCTTGGTGCCCTTCATGATGTTGTAGATCTGAGGCGGTTTGTTTGAAGACGACCCCATATTATATTCTATTTGGTGGTGGACATTGTTGGGAAACTCAGCCCGAAACGTATTGGTCCTGCAAAGGCTTTTCCATCCCCCAAAAGAGCTCCAGAAATTTCAAGAGGTCCTTCTCTAAGGGTCGAATCTTCTTGTAGCATGCTCCTCGATCACACCGGCAACGAGACTTAGAAAGCACGTCTCGCACCCTTGAAGTGGAAACGCCGTTCTCTGCATGCCTTGCACGTTGGGCTGCCAGTAGCGAAACGAGTTGATGATTTGGTGAGTGAAAGATCTCCAAAAGAAACTAAAAGTCTTACAAAACATTCCTTGTTTAGATGAAGTGCGAAGTTCGAACTGGAGGGCTGGCAAAAAAACGCCGCCTTGTATTATCATAGCTGGGCCGTTTCCGAGGTGCTATTGGCTTCAGTTTGTAGCCTTCACCAGTCATGTGTTCACCCTTGAACTCTCGAAGGGACAGCAGCGAAAAGTGCACCGCAGTGCTGGCATTGCTAGTGGGCTGTGCTTTTTCTTCAGAGTCTCCCTTTAGAGACCTGAAAAAGGCTCTACGGGCCTCCATCTTGATCTCATTGTTGCAGATCAGATCCATATTCTAATTTTCTCAACCCTCGAATAAAACGAAAAAACCCTCAAATGCAATGAAAACGACATATATATATATATATATACATGCTTGAGCAGAAATGGCCCCAATGTTTTTCGACTGGTTCCTCTTTGGATGTCCACGCTGCCCCACCCAAAACATCTGTTGAACGTTTGGAAGCCCCTTCCCGAATCCATCCGGAAGCCCCTAACCCCGATCCCTTCGGCCACAACGCTGCCGCCCGCGTCGTCTCACCGTCCAGGGCGAAGGTCTCGCACGTCGCTTCACCGCAGGTGTCGCTGACGTCAGCGCCAGACGTGGCCGTGGTGCACAGTGTTTGGGCTTGGCAACGCCCAGAGCCCAGGCGCCAACCTGAGCTGGGGTGTGGAATGAAAAACCATTAAACACCTAAGCTGCTGGGGTGTAGAGACGGTGACCATGTCGGAGGTTTTTGGCGGAATCTGGGGGGGTTGATGGTATGTGGTCCCAGTGTGGGCAGGAATAGGCGGTATAAAAGAAACATGGAGGCTTTGGGGAGAAATTGTTGTCTTCAAAGTATCAAAGGTATGCCAGCCTCAATGCAGCTTTGTCCCACAATCAGGATGCAAGATGATGCAAAATGTCCCTCTCCACCGGAAAGTGAATTGCCAACTAAGTGGTTTCTCATGGTTTCTCGCAAAGTTGCTGTAGCTCCAGGATGCAAGATGCCCCGCTCCCACTGAGCTCCCGCGGTCTCTGATCCGCCAAATGACTCAAAAGCGGCCACAGGTAGATCCGCATGTAGCTCGACCCGCGGATGGCACGTAGAGCGCTGCCCGCGGTGAGCCTCACGCGGAGCGCTGAAAACTCGTCCAGCTCCAGAACACCTGAGGCGTGGCCCGAAGCACCCTTCCCTGAAGTGTTTCTGACAAAGGTATGATGGAAACTATTAAAACAGGAATCAGAATCCTGGATATGAAGGAATAACCCTCCCCCTTAGTTATTTCAAATTGAAAATAAGACCACCGATCAAAGAAACCCAATCACATGAAAGGAAATAGAATGCAAAGTAGTGGGGGCTTCAAGAAGCATTCGGGCATGTGGCGCCAACACTCCACACATTGCCTGTACAAACGTCATGAGCCTAAGCGAATGCTATTCAAAAGAGCATCATATACCCCTCGACAGAAGTCGAAAATACATCTCGCGTCAGGGCTCCCGGGAGATGCTTAAAGGGTGCCCTGCAGTACACAAAACACTTGGCGAATGTGCCATCCGCATAACACCATTCCGGGGTATGCAGGGATGTAGTGATTACATGCAAGAATTTCGGAGTAGTGGAGGAGCCGCTCTTGTCAGCACGAAGCAAATACCGGCAACACGCATCATGCTCGGTTTGGGACCCATAGGACTTCAGCTGTAAAAGCAAATGGCAAAGGAGACAATATAAGCCTGTACAAAACAACATTGAAGGTCAAAAAGCTGTACCACTGTACAGACCAGAAAAGAGCATAGAGGCTCGCACAACACAGTGTATCGACACCATGAGGTAAGAAGGCAAAGTTACCCGCAAGGTTGTAGTGTGATGCGCTGAAAGCAAATGGCACTGTCAACTGGCAGCGAAGCCAAGTGTGGTTGCCAGCGTGTGGATTGCATGGTCTCCAACGTGTGGATTGAATGCACTTGTTCCTAGTAGCTTCTTGTTACTACTAGTAAGGCACTTGTTACTACTAGCGTGGCACTTGTTACTACTAGCTTCTTGTTACTACTAGTAAGGCACTTGTTACTACTAGCGATGCACTTGTTGCTACTGAAGCAGCTCGTGCATGGACTCGCCACGTCGACTAGGCGCCACACACCCGACATGCACGAACAGGAAGCAGAACGTCTACTGGAGGCGCCAGGGATTCAACCAAGATCCCAAAAAACCGCTTGGGTGACTGCGATAGTTAGAAATTAAAGCGGTCAAATTAATATTGTTGTTATAAACACAATTGCATCTTGGAGTTTCTGCCAGAAACAGCTTAGTGCATTTTCCAACAATGGGAAGTTGTTGGAGCAGACCTTGAACAGTTTGAGATCTTCAGAATAGTGCCTGAGATTTGCAGAATCGCTTTCCAGGTCCCAACACCATCCCAACTTAAAACACAAACCCTGAAATAAAGAAACCACCGATGGTTAAAAGAATAGAGAAAACACATAGGGATGTTATTCCTGAAATAATCCTGGAAGTAGAAAACCACCTGTTTATAGAGGCAATTGGCAAATGGTCCTCCAATAACCCACTTCCGTGATCATTTCAATGCTGCAATAACTACAGGACTGTCCGATTGAGAGCCAATTCCGCCAGGCTGTCGTCCCCCCGAGACTCTAGACGCGGTTTGAAACTGGAAACAAACGCACCAAGCGGCCGTCGTCACCTCCGAGTACCCTGCAGCTCAGCCTCAAAACAAAGCCGGGCAGAAAAGAGTCGAGCAAGCTACTACACCTGTTCCCTTTCAACTTATTGATGGGTCCGCTTCGGTTGAAACCATTAACTGGTCCCTCATCAATTGAATCCATGGAACCTTCAATTGATGAGGTCCCTCATGTCACCCAATGGGACCTTTCCAGTCTTTTGGGTTTAGGGCCGGTAGAGTTGATCATCTGCCTGGATACTGGGAACACTCTAGGCCGATTTGGATTGACTTCCTTGTGAACGAATGCCAAATCAAGTCTTTGTTTGAAACCTATGCTGGCCAACGGTTTTCATACTCAAGTCACACTCGAGCTCTGTGCCCCATTGAAAAATATAGTATATTTATATAGTGAGTGCGACCAATGTCGATGCCAAGAACATGGCCACTGGACTGTTGAAGAAGGAACATGATCTCAATGTGTTTTCACCGCGTGGAAGGAATTTGTAAACATGCTCTTTAGCCTTGCAAGATTTGGTCCAGCAAAGGTCCCAACTGATCCAACCAAACACGCCACCAGCAGGTCTGGCGTTGCAAGCGAGCGACAGGTCTGGCTCTCCAAATGCGGAGGCCGGCTCCTGGCACACCAATCACCAGCATCTGAGCTCCACAAAAAGTTCGGAACATCCGTTTTGGAAACCCATCAGCAGCTCACCAGTTGTTCAAAACATGAAGGTTTTTTCAATTGGTGTCACACCATTTTGTCAATTGAACTGAATACATTGAACCCCTTGAATGCACCTTATAACTCTGGTAAACATGTACAAACAATAACAACAAGCCATGAATCACTCAAAATGATGCGTGAAGGCCAGCGAAGTGACTGGGGCATCCCACAGTGACTGACCACAAAACTCAAAACAGAAATGCCCAGCATATGTGCTGCCAGGCTGCTGGTCAATGGATTGCTGCTACATCGCAACTTTTCACGGCGGGTCAAAAACATGTCTACACGTATGTGGAATATCCCGTGGTGCAGACCAATGTGGGTTGAAAGTAATTAGCCGTTCATGCCAACAACACTTGCACAATGAAGACCCATTTGCACATCCAATAAAGAATTGTTCTCTCAAACGTTCAATATGCTCCCATCTTTTCGCCTTCCCCACTCTGTCTGTTTGTGTCTGTCTGCCTCTGTCTGTCTGTCTGTCTATCTGTCTATCCATCTATCTATCCATCGATCTGTCTATCTATTCTATCTAGATCTAGATCTAGATCTATATCTATCTCTCTATTCTGTCTATCTCTGTATTTCTCTATTTCTCTATTTCTCTATCTATCTATCTATCTATCTATCTATCTATCCATCTATATATCTTTCCTTCCCTTGCCTGGGGGGCACTTCGCAGCAGCCCGGGACCGGCTTCGATGGCATGGAAAGGGTTGGACTGAAGGTCGTCCATGACCTCATGCGTTCCATGAGAGGATGCCCACACACTCCAGGTGCCAGTTGTGGTCATTTGTCTTGAGACTCTTCAAAGAGTCAATAGTAGCTTCTAGTAGCTTCTTGCTCCCCTGGTAGCTTCTTGTTCCTATAGTAGCGATGCCCTTTGCTCCTAGTAGAGTCCTCTACTCTTGCTGAAAAAGAAAATCCGGAAGAGTCAATGTTGAGTAACTGTAGCATCTGTGATTCAAGCCACTTCTCCGTGTTAGCCGCCGCTTTCGCTCGAAGCGGCCGAGAAGTGGATCCACGGCTTCAGTCCGGGAACAAAAAAGCCCAGGTGAAAACCTGATCCATGGCAGAACAATCAATTCTTCTAGCCAAAACAATGGTTCGTGTTCCTTTCCTTCCTTCAAGCGGCTCTAAGTCGAAGCACTTCTTGCCTGAGAACGGACTGCTGCTTTTCGCTGGGGTGTGGAACCCCCATCTAAGTGGCGAGCACCAGGAACCGAACACAATAGAGAAACCCAGCCTTGCAAAGCCTCTCTAAATCTGCCATGGGTGTTGATGCTTCCTTGCACGCAAGACACAAATGTAGAAACTACACGAAGCTACTTTAAGAAACACATGTCATTGGCTGCCTCTAGTTCCAAGGTAAATTTGGTCGGCAGTCCATCACCCTCACATACACGCAAGTCACTTGTGAATGAGCACACTAGTTGCGCAGACACAAACTTATATGGCCGTGGATTTGTTTACCAAGCATGTTCCATTCACCAACAAAACCACATGCTCGTTCACACTTCCTTCCTCGAGGTGATTAAACACCCCAACCAATGGGTCCATTCACGCCCCTCTTCGCGCCCCTCTTGGCCCGATGGTTGGCATCGGGGAACCTGCGAAAGCTCCCGCTCTGTGCGAGAAGGTGCCTGATTTTTTGCATGAACACACGGTTCCAAGAGAAGCGTTCCATGATGTTCCATGACTACATGGAAGGATTCCCTCCCTACATGGAAGATGTATAGTGCATTCCGAAGCGATCCGAACCACCCCTCCCTCCGCCCATTCTGAAGACCTCACCAGCTGAGGTACCCCAAGCTGCGAGCCGCATCGCCCAAAACGCCGTTCAGGACCAGGTGATACAGCCGCTGTGGTTTCAGTTGCGCTGTGGAAAACACTAAACCCAAAGTCCAGGATGTGTTGCTCCTGAGTTCTCAGCGCGTATTACTAGAGGAGCACTGGAGTGCAGCACGACAGAAGCTGCAACGGTGGCAACCGTTCTGTGACGTCACTGTTACGGTTCTGCTTAGGTGATGGAAACTTAGGTCTTGCTTCTGTATATTGTATACTGCTTGCGGTTGATACAGCGCGCACTGTGCCAGGCTTATTTCAATATGCTTTGGCTTAACAGACACCCCCTGAGATGAAGTTGAATCACGGTGAAACACCACGAGCAGCGGGGCGCTTTGCCAAGTTGCGGTCGCTGCAAATAGCACCCGTCGGGCATGGGAAAGCCATCCGCATCGTCCGACCACATCTCCTGAGGTGCGTCACATCGCAATGTCCACAAACATGTGGTGGACAGTGCCACAGACAGGGACCCAAACAGTTTCCTTGAATTCCAATGTTGCTGGCTCTGCAATTACATCGGCTGTTTGGGAATGGCATTGTTTGAAAACAATAGTTCCTGATTCCCGGGTCACATGTGCAAAAACGGGGTAATATGTCATGAGTCATGAGAAAATCCAATAACGATATCAATGTGTTCAACGCTGCACCACTATTGCAGTAATAGCCACACGACGAGTCACATACACGGACGCAGGCGGGGCGGGTGGAGAAAGGGAAAGCGGTGACAAGGCCGTACGCAAGGGCGACGAGGCCTGGACAAGGCGGCGGACAAGGCGGGATGGAAAGTGGCCACACCTATCATGGCCAGCCGTTTCTTTCATAAACTGATTGGGGAACAAGAGGCGGACACAGGGTTTGCGGACACAAGAGGCAAGAGGAGGACACTGGCTTCGTGAGCGCGGCTCTGGCGACAGCAGGAGGACAAGAGGAGGACACCCGGACAGGTTCACGGGCGCGGCCAAAGACTGTGGCCAGTGTCCTCTTCTTCCAATGAGAGAGCCGCAAGAGGAAACGTTTTTTTTCCCTCCTAAGCTGCACGATCGCAGGCCCGGACTAATGCCTGACCACAGTGAGACACTCACCGGCAAACTACGAACGAAATGAGCGAGCGAAAAGCTTAGGGACAGTGCATGCACGAACCTAAATGCGGAAACAGCCTCTAAGAGAAGCGGCCAATTAATCCGGGAAAGTACTATATATATACTACGAAGTGGTCCCTTAGCGGGAAGCTTTGCAAGAAATGCCTGGAAGGCGGAAACTGCAGCGTGCTCAAACACACACCTGGCCAATATGCCAGAGGCACGAAAGCAAGCGCCAAGACCCCACAGGGATCTCGAGAAGGCCACGCGTTCGGAACACGGACGATCCCAGGTTCCTCTCAAAGGTACTAACCGTGTTGGGGAAAAGCACCGGACCATGACCTGAAACCTTGCCACCAAACAAAAGACAAGAACGCCAAGCCAAAAAAGAAAATACAAACAAACAGCAAGAGAAAGTGACAAACGGCCAAGAATAGGCAAAACCCGCAAAAGATTGAGATAGATCATGAGGCTTCTATCGCTTTAGAGTGTTGAAAATTGCAATACATGCGTGAACCCGTACGGTGCAAATCTACTGCCGTTCACTGCTTCAATTTCTCCTGAACATCTTTCAGCGCGCACAAAAGCCCAAACCTACTTCTGTGGGTGGCACAAAAAATAACTCCTCTAAATCCAACGGTCTTTGCCTCCAACGGTCTGTTTGGCTTGCATAGTCAAACATGTCATAAAAGGTCTCTAAACAGTGCTGCCGGATTTTCCAGCAAACAAGCAAGTTGGATGAGGACTGGACGAGACTGTTACTGTAAGTGGAGGGTTCCTTTTGTGGAGCCTGTCGAAAACCAATTCTTCAAAGCCTAATAGTCTCCCACCAGGTACAAGTGTCATCTATTGAGTTATCTGACTATCTATCAACATTATTTAATCTATCTATCAACGGTAATCTATCTATCGACCTATCGATCTGATCTGATCTAATCATCTGATCTGATCTCATCTAAATTAATCTATTGTTTATATATATATATAATATCTAACTATCCTCTTTCAATTGAGGCTGTTCTAGCCACTCCTTGAAGAGGAAGCCACACCATTGCTGCACCGCGTTCTCTGCTGAGGCCAGTCCAGGGATCTCCGTCAACTCCACATCGTCTGTGCTCCGCCCTCGGTGCTGATCAGGTTGGTCAAGGTGATGAAGAGTCCGCCCACGATCCCGAAAAACATGACATGTGTTGCAGGATCACGGTAAAGGGCTGTCGAGATTGCAATCCATTTTCTCTTTGCAGTTGCAGGACAAACAAAGGAGGCACACATGTTGTTGAGATTCAAGATGGCAAGGTTTTGGGTTCGGTGCGGGGGGCCAAATGAGTTGGACCCTGGAATCGAATTCGTGCGCAACGCAATCGTTTCGGACCAGCAAATGGACAAGAAATCCATCTCAATGTGTGGAATACGTGAGCCCAGTATGAATTCGACCTGACGGTCAAAAATCAAGCAGCATGGCACTGGCAGTGAGACATCTTTGTCGGTTGTCTACAGCGTTTCAGACTTCTGACAGCATTGCTTCATCGCCAAACCCCTCTGGCTGAGCGGCGAAGGCCCAGTAAGGCACTGCTGGGAAACTCGAGGCCTGAGTCGCACGGTCTCGAGTATTGAAGTTCAACTGTTTCAACTTGAGTCAAAAAATGAAATCCTGGGAGTCTGGGACGCAGGATGTTTTGGGCTACCATGCCATGCTGTCCCGGATGTTGCTTGTGAACCAATCCCCACATCGTCCCAAGTGCCCCAGCTCATGCCTTTTTCTCATCTATACGTAGATTGGCTATGCAGCCTCTGCTTTTCAGTGGTGTTTGATACGTTGGACCTCTGTCGACCTCCACAAGGCTACTGCGAGGTGTTGCGGAGCCCATTTGGAATTGCCCATGCAAGCCATCCAAATATGTCCGCAGTTCTACCACTACAGCGTACCATTTGGATCCTTAAAAGGCAGCTTATTCTAAGCGATGAAACCATCAGCGAACATCCCCAAACGTCGGTGACTGTCAGCAATGTCTTGCTCACAGGCAAGGTTCGTAGCTGGTTTCTCGCTCCACTTGGAAGGCCATCCAGTAGGCCAGTTTGGAAACTCAAAAGCACCTGACAAAGGTGTGTGAGAAACGATCTGCCCTTGCAAAGACCATCGTTCTATATGCATATACTGAAGAAGCGGAAGACAACTATTGCGTTCTACATGCGTTAAGGGATTCTATGAGGTGCATGTGCAGTGCATATCTAGTTCAGATATGATTAGATATGCCCCGAGACACGTGTCACATGTTACAGTGGCTTGCCTTGCTCGCGTTGTCTCGTAGACCGTCGCTTGCAGCTCAGCCGTGTCAACTTCGTTTGGACAGTTTCTAGGACTTGGATTGCAGTTTGTAACGATTTCCCAGTCGTCTTCAGACATGACAGTATGGGTGGTTTTATGGCATTGCAAACCAAATGTGCATCTTCTACATGTTTCCACGTTGCTTGAACAAAGCATTTTGGACAACATCGTGACCCAGTCGGTGAGCCGTGCGAATACCCCCAAAGTTGGTGCAAGCGGAAAACCAAGCGGCCACAAGTTTGAGTGCTCGAAGGATATCCCAAACTCGAACATCCCGGCCACTAGTTGAACTATGTTGAACTAGGGGAAACGAATCAAGGTGAATGTGGACATGAAGCTGAAACCTCTCTTCCAGGGCTCTCCTTTTTTGATCCCTGCACAAACTCATATGATGTCGAAAACATGCTGGATCGCTCTGGTCATCTGAAATCGCCAGGCTACAGGGGCGATCTGGTGGCGTCCTGCCGACAGTGGGGAGGGACACCGTGAGGAGATCCAGATTCATGTCTACCTTGCTGGGACGGTAGCTAGTTGGAGTCATACTCATGTGGACCAGAAACCCTTGGACCACACACCAAGAATAAGAAAGCGCAGCGAACAAAGGGAACCACGAAGAACATCTTTGGTCTTCTAGGTACCCAACAATTTCTCGGGCTTTTCATGTATCTCAAAGCCGTTAACTGTTGCAGAACCTGATTTGGACCTGGATTTGTCTGTTTAACAAGCAACAAATAACAGAGCAATGCTTCAATCTAGCTGTTCTAAGGAGCACATCCTGCGAAACGCCTTAAATCTACCATTCGTTGTCATGTAGACATCACTGCAAATCACAGAAGTAGAATTCCGATCATCCTCAACGTGACAGGTCGTTGCAACGACATCAACTTTTGGTCCACAGACATGACATGCATGACATGCATGACTGCGCAATGATGTTCGCATCGACGTCCTTTGGCTGTGAGATAGACTTGGCCTTGCAATTCCGCCACCGGAAGGATCCTCAAATGGCCCGCCTGCAGCGCTGGGCCGCCTGCAAAAGGCGTCCAGCACACCTGAGTCTCCAAGGAATCACCGGTTTACCGCGGTACCACAAGGAGTCAAAGAATGGGTGAAACGTGAAGCGAAAGGAGATGTTTTGAAGTGGATTAAGTGAAACACCTGCAGGAAACGTCAGGAAACCATGAGAGGTTGGTGTGATTTGGCCCCAGACCGGCCGTGCATATGCGCCCCTGCATGGGCATATACAGTATGGGCATCAAATATACATGGAATAGTAACCAAATGTGTCTGGGCTCGCATTTTGCGTTGGCGCCAAATACCAAGGTTGCAACCGGTCGGAACCCAAAGAAATTTAGACCCACCAAGCCTCCCTTCAGCGTTCAGTTCACCCTGTCTATAGTCCAGTCTAGATGTTTATCTCAAAATCGGTAGAATTCCTACGATTCCTCCGTCAGATTCCGTCAGTGGATGGACAAACCAGTTGTCCCTTGAAATTACTATAATACTAGAACCAGCCAAAGCTCGGGCAGTATCTTTCAGTATATAAGATCAGAACCCTCATTGGTGGCCCCTGGGGGGCCTATTTGGACACATATAAAAGCTGTGCTCCAACAGCCCACCTTCATACTGGAAGAAGGCCGTGTTGAAATTGATGACTTGCTGGTGAGTGAGGGGGGACAGAAACTGTAGTTGTACCAAAAGCCGTCTCAATATGTCTCAACATCTGCCAGTCATGCCGATCTCAGTGCACCGACGGACCGATCTGATTCCCTTTCACCGAATGGCCGGCAAGTCTTCCGCGTCCGCAGCTGTCGTCTCCGCTTTCAGTTCCGCTTTCGTCTCGCCGCGACTGTGCCGTGTCCACTGAAGACCACCGGGCTGGATCCTGGGACTCGTGCGCCGTTGAACGCGCGTGGGCTCCACCTGTGTCATCCGTTCGGGGCCATGGTTTCAAACCCATCAGTGTTTGCGGGTGGAGCGCCCGTGGGGAACTCTCCGGACGGAATTCATCCGATGTGTTCCGGCCGTCTTCCACACTGTGGTGTGGGTGAAAAAGTTCCATCTTCCAACTATGTTCCACGAGTTTCTGCACATCCAAGGACACGAGTCTCTGTGTACTGTATTGGTGCAAAAGGGAACGTTGCTGTTCTGCTGATCAGTCCTGAAAAAAACAAGAAACGTGACCGTTGCCTGTGATGCCTGTGATGTTTCCCGAGAAAACATGAACTCGCTCCGTTGATGTTTCGCTTCGTCGGTGAGCGGGTCACGCGAACTCCGAAGGCACGTGAACTCCGGCAAGCGCGTCAAAGGCCAATAGACATCCAGCTTGAAACTTCTGGGATCTGGGCTCACCACCAAGCTCCTCCCCGGTCCCGTGGTTCGAAGGTCCGTCTCTGGGTCGGGAAAAAGGGTGACTGGGCTGGCGGGGTGAACTCATCTGCTGGGCTTCTGGGCTTCGATTCTACAATATGCTCGAGCTTTGAGGCTCCATGTCATTCTGCAAGGGAACGGGGACGGTTTCATCTAGCATCACGTGGTTTTGGAGCATTAGAGTTCTGTCGCTCAAAGACCTCCAGTCCATGAACAGGAATCACCCCACTACCTACTGAGCCTGCTTGGGCGCACAATAGTATTGTAACTAGTATTGTATTTGTTGTCTAAAGAAACAAATTGCGAAGTGATGATGATGATGATGATGATGATGATGATGATGATGATGATGATGATCACATTTTGTTGCCTTCGAATGATACATCACGGGCAAATGAAAGGCCTTCTGCAACTATATTTCAACTTGCCTCAACTACAGGAATGCACAAAGCCCGTTTCTTGCTTGGGTGCTCTTGACTTGTTTGAACTTTCAACGTGTTTCAACCAAGTTTCTAGTGAATTGGCGTAGGAAAAAACACCACACAAACAAAGAAACAGCGCATTATCAACTTGCACCATCCGGATGCGGGCAAATCTTGCATCTTTCACCTGCCAAATGTCCTTGCTGATCATGGATCCACATGTGGACCCACTCACCTCACCTTCGAAAAGAATCACACCTCACCCAGGACGTTTACGTTCAATCCCTTGGTTCGGTTACAGTATATCCGGAAAAAACCGGTCTGTGGAAAGCCGGTCTGAGACTCGGAGAATTCCCACCGAGTCAGAAGGGAGACTTGTCGATGAAAAACAACCAGCGGCTCGTGGAATTCTTTAGAGACTGACATATTCAAGTATAGAAGCTAAGCTCCCCATGTTGGAGCTCTTCCAAGAGAACAGAGCTCACAAGTTCAATGAGTAACAACATGGAATCCCTACACAAGCTCCTACCATAAGGATTCTCTTGAACACGTCAGATACAATTCCTAATAATTAACATATATATATATATACACACACACATCCTTTCATACAGGATTCCGGCAATTCTCAGTCCTCCCCACCAAATAATGTGAGCTGCCAGAGAAGTCTGTGAAGGGTGGATTCATGCTCTCAGACAAACCTTCAGCTTCAGAGACGCCTGAGTCTTGGGGTTGCGAGAGCGGCCTTCATCAGGGTCTGCACATGGCATGTGTCTCATGACGCCTTTAATTACTCACGAGACACATGGTTGTAAATACTCACTCCGCACCCACAGCTGTCCAAGGCAATTGAGCTTCCAAAAACACACGACTGAATTCCACTGTCGCCACCCGCTCTCCAGCTGCTGCCACCCAAAAGAATCCCCTTTCCATCCTTTCTCTAAGAATTCGGGACAAACAAAGAGATATACGTTATTTGTATTTCTCCTAAATTTAGGGTTCTTAGAACTTGATATGGAGGGTTCTTGAGTCTTGAGGTTGAAGGGAGGCGATAGATATTGCTCTTTTGCTTGTCACCAGACTCGACCATTTTCGCCCAGCCGCTGCACACAAATGTGTGTGTGTCACATACTGTAGGAAACTGGTGGCGCGTCACTCCAGCCAAGGGAAACCAATGAAACGAGGTCCCAATCAAATCATTCTTTATGAGATCATCGTGCCAAAATACACGATCAAACGCCGAATTTGTCCCCCATCCTGTCTGTTTCGGCATCCCCCAGTGCCTCTGAGTTCTTCCTCATCCTCCACACTGCACATGCCCGCTGCCGTGCTGCTGGCACTGCAGCCCACCTGCGCTCCGAGGCTCAGCACATCGTCCGGCTGGAGCAGTGGAACGGTGGCGCCAAAGGAGATCTCCGCTTGACCAGAGGATGCCAGGACCTCAGCGGAGCAGATTTCTTCGAACACCTGCAGCGAGTTTGTGGGTACGCAAAGGATTCTGGTGTTCCTTCAATCGCGGGTGGTATGTCAAAATGAGGGCCGTCTCTATTTTGGGGGGTCTTGTACAGGTTCACTTGACAGCGGCAAGTCGAAAACGATCAACATCGGGCACCTGCAAACGATCGAAACCGCTGGAGTCGGATGTGGTGAAGTTCACAAGGTGCATTCGATATTCTACATTCTACAGCAAACAATTGATGACGATGGCTATTACTCGAGAATGAGAATGGGCTTGAACGGGTACTTTTCTGGTCATTATGGCACGGATGAGTGGCGTATGCGCTGAAAGTTAAGCCCCACACACGCACACGTTCCACCCGAAAGGGCGGGCATTCTCCGAGGTCTTGTGCAGGTCCACCGCAAGGCATTGTTTCTGAGCTGAGCACATCTAAAGTGATCTCCTCTTCAGTCTCGTTCTGAGGCTGGCAGTTCCTGAAGTTCCAGAACCACTGGCTGGAGCAAGACATAAAAGCAAAAAACATATATTGGGAGGGATTCTTGAAGCGACATAGCATCTTGTGAAACTCAGTCTTATGACGTGACATGTTCTAGAAATTTATGACATTACATGCAATGAATTGCTTCTCAGCAGTGCTGGAATGCACTCACTAGACACAAGACTAGATTCAGATGTTTTCATCCAAAGTCCTAAAGATTCCCAAAGCATTGAAGAAAATCTATTCCACAACGTCATAGCTTCCCGGGACACCCTTGCATAATGGAGCCTTCTAGCTCGGAGCTTGCACATGAACTTCCGGATCGCAGCACTTGGATCTGATCGCTCTTCGTGAAGCCCCAACCAAAGATCTCCAATGCAAACAGCACCCCTTCACTCACTGCCCAGACCTGGAGTTTCAGTCCATTTTTTTTCCGTCCTGGGGTGTGGGAGTCCAACCTTAGAGCCCTTTCTTTGATGGCTAAATATCGGCTTGAATTCATCAGATTTCCAGTGACATGAAAGATTGAAAGAGCCACAATGAAGAGCACATTTAGAGAAAAACCAGCAATCCGCTGAATCAGCGACTACCACGCCTGTGCTCCGGATGGTCCCCGCACCGTGAAGTGCAGCAAGAGCCGCCAGAGGTGCACGGCTCCGCAGGAGTGGCCACAGTAGCAAACCGCCACACGGCCCGGACGTTGAAGGGTCAAGGAGTAGTCCGAGCGGTTCAAAAGGATCTCAGCGTGAGTGCCCTCCCGTGTGACCCGAAAGAAGGACTGCACCTCCGCTTCGGACACGGAGATGTTGCCACGTAAGGAGAGGAGGTTGAAATGCTCTGAGGAAGAATCCTCGTAATACACGGAGTAGGGGACAGATGCACAATCCTCATCCTGGAGGGCCAAGTTATTGTCTCCTAGCACTTTGACCCAAACATCGCCATGTGCACCGGCCGGAAGCTGGCCTTCTACGATCGGCAGAAATGCTTCCAGGCTCTGATTTCCCGTGGACAGCCCCAGAACACCTCCTTCACGCCGTGCGACTTGTAAGGAGAGTGCTGAGGCCATCAACCGCAAGGGCACCAGTGACATCTGCCCCACCTTGAAATAGCTCGGTGAAAGCTCTGATCGGCAGTTGCTCAAACAAAAGCAAATGTCCAAAGGCTGCAGGGATTGGAAGGACCTCTGACCATGAATCGTTCGATCTGCGAGGAAGCGTAGACCTTCAGGTCCACCATAGACTTGAAAATCTTGGCGGAATCCGCCCGACAAGACACAGGTTTGAGGATTTATGCCTCACAGTGTCGGCGGATGTGGATTGGCGAAAAAAAGCATTCCATTCCAAGCAGGTCAGGTTTACTATACAATATAGCCTGGCTAAATCCAAACCACTGTACTTACGTAGCTCCAACTTGTAACCCGCAACATCTAGAACCGGTTGTAGTTAAAAGTTGAATCCAGGAGACAGTTCTCAGGGGAGCTCTGCAATAGACTCTGCTGTTCTGCACATCCATTTGCTGGGTCCCAGCTGGGCAAATTCTCGCTGGGCGACACCAGCTTCATCCTGGAAGACTCGCCACAAAGACCGCTGGGGCAAAAGATCTTCAACCTGCCGGATCTGATGAACCACTCTGCTTTGGCTTGACTGCATGTGGTCCATCGTTTAGGCCACGACTTTGGGGGCATAATCAAAAAATGGCCGAATAGATCCGCATAGATCACATTGGCTCATGAGAATCACAGAGAAGCCGATCGATGTCACGCATTTATTGTTTACTGGTCAACTCCGATGTTCAAGTATCAAGTGTGAAGGTCTAAGCTCCAAACAACGAGGCCTGCTCCAAATTGGTGCAACCCAACAGTTATGGAATTCCTCTAGGTTGTGAAATAGCGGTTCTATATATAGTCTTTGTTGGTATTTGGATCCTTCGGGGCACCCGAACCTAATGTTGAACAAGTCAATGAGTTCGATGTGAGTCTTGAGATAGACCTAGATAGAGATAGAGAATGATATATAGATACATAGAGGAGGTATACAAACACAGATCAAATAGAGACAACTAGAGATTACTAGAGATACAAACATAGATCATCATAATGTCATAGATCAATAAGACTCAATAAACTGACAGAATATAACGTCAGAAAAATGCTAATATCGATCGAGCGATAGGTGAATGAACAGTATACAAAGAGGACATCAAACAAACCAAACCGAGTGCCTCAAGACTCAAGACGCCCCAAAAAGGGCACCTGCCGATTTCGCTCGAGCAAGTTTCAGTTTTTGTAAGGAGCCTGAGCCCGCCCGCCTCATTGGATAGGAGGCCACCATGGATGAGAAGGAGCCCACACAGCTCTCATCACTTCGATTTGGCAGGCAAAGACTGGCAGCAAAGAAGTGGACGATGCCCACCTGCTGGGTAAAGAAATTGGATTCCAAGCAGCTTCCCATGGGACAAAGGCACAAGGTGATGCTGTGGGCGAGGTCAGCATCAATGCTCGAAACACGCGCACGTGGCAACCAGCTGGACCCATTCTCGTTGAGATCAACAAAATAATCCCCATGGTCACAGCGCAAACCATCCAAACACAAGAAATCTGCTGGCCTTGGCTGATGGTCTGATCATGTCTGATCACTTCCATATACTTCCGTGCTAGTGCCGATGTGATTGGGGTGAACAAAGAACACAAATATGAGAAATTTGAAGTGGGTTCCCACCTCCTCTGCTGCCCCTTGCGATATCACCACCAGAAAGGTATAGCGGGCTTGACATGCCGGCAAGACGCTGTAGAGACGTGCAGTTTAAAGGCTCCATCAAGAGAATGATCCCATCACTCACTGTAACCGGCCATGATGCGGACCAGGAGATCTTCATTTCGCTGGCTGTGCCTAACAATCCTTGAACTTCCATGGGCTGATCATCCCAGTTGAAAGACACCTCGCAGGCCTCTGGCGGGCTATATGCACCTGGAAGTACGTAGCAATACTGTACACGATTCGGCAAGCAAGGGGATGAGGGATCAGCGCAATCCCAGTCATAGGCACCTGCACACTGGGGACTCCCTCCTTACACCCCCAAAAAAGACTCAGCACAACTTTCGTGAGGGCCCAAGATTGGCAGGGACGTTTTGGCTTGACCGTTTCTGCCACATGGCTACAACATGCTACAACCATCCCATCGATTCCAATCGATTTTGGTGCTGGACCTGCCTAAGACCAAAACCGTCACAGGCACCAAGTCCACCTCGCCGATGACCCCGAAGTCTCCATTCTTGGCATAGCACAGTGCGAAGGCACCCCCATCGCGAAAGACCAGCGGTGCCTCTCTGGGAGCTGTTCACCGGAAACACACAAAAATGATCAAACTTGAGGCCAAGGGGGGGGCGAAAGCTAGCGCTCCAGAATGGGAAAGTGGAGGGCAGCGAGGTAGGAAAAAACACGGCGCTCTTTTTGGAGGCAGGGGTGAAGAGTCCTTTATATGTGGCTCTTTGCCCGGATCCTCCTGCGAGAGAAGAGAGAGAAGAGAGACGGAAAGACGAGAGACAGAGAGGAGAGAGAGAGAGAGAGGAGAGAGAGATGAGAGAGATGAGAAAGAGATGAGAGAGATGAGAGAGATGAGAGAGACAGTGAGACAGTGAGACAGTGAGAGAGTGAGAGTGAGAGTGAGCGAGTGCGGCCGCAAGATACGCAACGCTAACCGCATGCCAAAGAGCGACGACAGGACGGAGTCGAACTTGCGAAGAGGGAGGAGGGAGGGAGGGAAGATGGGAGGAAGACAAGGGGGGGGGGGTCTTCGACCTGAAAAATCAGGGGTTAGGATTTGCACCCGGTCGAAAGAAACCTTGCTATCGCAAGAGTAACTCCAGCTAGCTTCGCTAGCTTTCGTGACAATGATCTTAGATCTTGAATCTTGATTTAAAAAAAGAATGACAATGATCAAAAATGTGGTTTTACATGTTTTTACTGTAATTCAACTTTACAAAAAACTATCAAAACATACTTAAGCCACTCTTCCAAGCGAAGAAAAAGAGGCTGTCTGGACAATGGGACAGCCATAGCCACCCTACTCCGAAAAAATTGGACACACCGTGACACTGCTCCGTTTTCTTGTTGGATCTCTCTCTGATCATTGTAGATCTTCATGTTTTGCCGATGTGATCCTGGAGCCGAAAATTCACGGAGCCCCGCGCCTCTGGCACCAGATCTGCCCCAGCTGCCACGGCCACTGCGCCGCTGGGCCAGGGCTCTGCCACGCGGCCCACCGCCGCGGTCGCAGCGCTGCTACAGTCGCCGCGGCGAGCAGCTTGGGCGTCCAAGGCAGGAGTGGCTTGGCCCAAAAGGAGATGGGGTGCAGTACCCCAGGTGTAGCCTTGGAGTGAAAAAGGATAAAATGGATTGAACAGGGAGAATGAAGATTAATTGATTGCAGCAAGGATATTCACAAGTGTTTGACAAGGGGGCGAGTGGCACAACTATTGCACAACAATATTTTCTCAACACACTGAAACTCTAAAGTACGTATCCATATCCATCCATATCCTACTTCTCGTGGCGACCAAGCCCAAGCCATTTTCAGCCATATGAGCAAAGAAGCTGTCAGCTTGGAGCCGAAAGTTCATCACCTCCACACCTGCAGGGACCTGCACTTCACTGCAGATCGAGGTGTCACAGGTCTGGTTGGCAGCCGCAGTGTCAGGCGCGAACTCCAGAATCAATGTCAAGCGAGGCAGTACAGGTGCCAAAGACGTGGTCGTGAAGGTGCTTGAGCTCACTGTGGTGGTGGTCGAGGTTTGTGTGCTGCTGGTGCTGCTGGTCAAAGAGCTCGTTGCAGTCGTACTGGTCGTGAAGGTATGTGTTGTGGAGGATGTTGTCGCAGTAGATGAGGTGGTGTTGGTTCCAGTTGCTGAGCTGGTGGTGCTGGTGGTACTCGTGGTACTCGTGGTGCTCTCAGACGTCGACGATGACGAGGTCGCAGTGAAGGTCGAGGTTTCCTAGCTGGAGCTTAGGCCTAAACCAACACACATGATCGTATCCATACATCGTGAGGTCTCCATAAAGGACTTCATCTTTAGAATAAGAAATCAAGTTTGGGGGCTCGTGAAGACCTCGTGTGAGCCAGATCAAAAGTCCTACAAATGGCAATTTGAGAGCGGGGGTTGTACTCCCTGGTCTTGCACGAGGTGCACAAATCCTGAAGCAACACCCAGTCACAGTGACAGTTCCCTCATTCATCTGCAGCATTGAGAGGATCAAGGCCAGCAATGCCAAAACACCCATCCTTACTGGAGCTGGAGGGATAAAATCCTACTGAAGACTTCAGTACTAGTAGCACCGTAGCCCTTTGTATGTGTAGTGTTGTCAGGACTGAATTTAATACAACCTCAAACAATGGGTGATACATGGCAAGCAAGGGTATTTACCCAAGGTATTGACAGCTAGCTAGCTTCACCAACACAATTTTTACTAACAATGAGATAGAGTCGAGGCAAAACTGCAAACAAAATTGAATCACTCATAAGCTCGCCCGTAAGTGAGCCCTCTTTTTCCATATTAATGCTCTAGCTCCTGGAAGCAAGCAACCCTTAAGCCTTGAGTTCACAGTTCCTGCGAATATATTCAATATGGCATGAATGATTGTATGAAATGTTCCCAAGTATGGCATTTAGTCAGTGGCTATGCTGGTTTGGGGATAGTCTGTTCATTGTGTCAAAGGATGCAACTTGCAGGAGATCCTCTGGGTCCCCTTGCGATCCCACTTTGCTTGAGGCATGCTGGATTGCTCCACAACTCTTTGCCCAAGAAAGCCCTCTCAAGCAAACCATTGAGTCAAACTGGTTGTTTTTGATTCCACTTCTTTACCCTAGGCGGGTGTGCTGCGCACCACAGCTCATCCCCGGAAGATCACTCATCTCAGCAATTCATCTCAGCAATTCCCGCTGAGCTAGCCACACCACCTCCAACATCCCAGCTTTGGTAACACACCTCCAGGAATTATGAAACAGGCATCCGGCATCTTAAGGAAGAGTGGTCCATTAGGCATTTGTGTTGCGGTGTGGGGTCATAGCACTGGATGACATCAACTGAACCTCCCTCTGAACATGCCACTTTTGCAACCCAGCGACCATCCTGACTGACCAAGAGTAGAGCTTCACATTCGGGCGTCACAAGACACTCGCGAGGAGAGATTGAGGTTGCAACGAACGTCTTCTGCGAACACATCCTAGATCTTATCCGCTAGCACTTACAAGAATCCACAAGAGATGCGCGCTGATGCTTGTCGGACGTAACTTGGTGGAATAGAACTGCAGCAGCGACTTGGTGGGAAAGCATCAGACAGAAGCAAAACATTGCATGTCCTAGCAGCTAGCTAATGCAAGAACTGCTTAGAAGTTAAAGGGAAATCCAGTCCACCAACCCATGGGTTTTAGCGCATGGTGGCCCCTTTGAGGCAAACTCTTCATCCTCTCGACCCGCGACTGCATGAGGATTCTACTGTTTGATCACACTGAGTGACGGGACTCCTCACCCAAGCATCCCAGTGGCTGATCCGTTGATCACGTACACTGGGAGTGATGAGTGCCTGTTGTCCTACAAGCTAAGGGAATACCTCGCTCTCAACCTGAGCTTGCCAACACATTGCATTCGCAGCTCTGGGAGACACTATTCACATCAGAGGCCTTGAGCCTCTGGGGATCAAGCTGGCTTTTTGAGCATCTCTGCAAACAGAGGATGACACATGTGTCTCTTGGGTGTCAGTAGTTTCTTTGTTACAATCTTGTTTCTCTCTACTCTACTTCCTCTCAAACTACCTTGAAGCTTGAAGGAAATCCATCCATACTGCAAAAATCTGAACCCTGAACGTTGAACACGGGCCTATTACCACTCATGATGTCATGTATTGATTGGGGATCTATGTGCTGAAGATTGTTGAAGTCTACTTCGGCAAAAAAATAACATAATATAACGCCATCAAATTTCATCTCTCCAATTCTTTGAACTGAGAGGATGTCTGTTGGCCAGCCGCCTTCCCGCTTCATCGAGCACTTCCCATCTCAGCGCTTGATTCTACACATTCGGCGTGGGGTTCGGCACGTCGACGTCGGCAGCGATGCACAACAGCAATGGCGGAGACCAAAGCCACAGCAACAGCAGAGACGACTCCAATGATCACTAGGCTGGTATTCATTGGAGACCTTTGAGGTGGTCCTGGTTCTTGGTGCTTGTAAGGGTTAAGAATCCAGACTGAATCATCAACTGGTCTTGCTTTCAAGGGCTGATACCACCCTGACTCAACGGTCACCGTGCTTGCACCTGCATTAGCCAACTGCCGGGCACGGCGGATGGCATTCGCTTGGTCTACAAGATCCGACTGGGTTGGGTCGTTACGAAACCATTCCCAACGCATGTGGCTGATGTTCTCAATCACCAGTCGGCCATGTCCAAATGACAAGCCATCTCGAAAGGCTGACCATTGAGGCTGCTCCAAATAAGTTTTGGCATGACCTTCGCGATTCCCTCCGTCGCCGACACATAAGTAGGTGGGCGCCCCGTCTTGGGAGGCATTCTGGTAGACAGGATGTGTTCGCTCATAGGCATGGACATGCCCATTGATCACCACCGCTGCCTGGGGAAAGCCCTCTTCGGAGGGTCGGTGGCGTAAAACAAACAGTTGATGAGTATTTTAAGAATACTGATTCAACATCAGAACATGACACGTGTTTTTGGAACAGCGTGAAGTGACCATGGCAGACCTTGTGTTTGTAGAAGAGGTCCTCAAAGCCATGGAAATCCCTCATCAAACTGGCTTGCCCTTCTGCTTGGTGGGCAGCATTGGAGTTGTAGAATGGGCAGTGCATCATGATGATGAGCCAGGGAGTCTGTGACCTTCTGTGTGCCAAGGCCTTCAGCAGTGCAAGACATCTTTCTGAATCTCTCTGAATAGAATCCCTTAGGGATCCAAGTACCTTCTCAGAAGGTACTTGGACCCTCCAAACCTACATAACATTAACAGTGTCTCCAATCACCTTCTCAAAGGGTATGTTCATCCCTAGGGATCATCCATATCGAAAGTCTGGAACATGGCAAGCCAAACACGAGAGCTGATTTGTGCAGGACAAACAGCTGGATCTAGGGTAGCTTTCAAGGTCAATGTCCCTGTGCTTATGTCGGGAGCGATTGACCATCAGAATTGCGGATCGGCCTCTAGCTCTTCTTTCAACCAGTTGTATTGTTCGGAGGAGGGATGGGTGTAGGTGTAGCTGTTCAGAGAGATCACGCGCGCCGGCCCGGCATCAAAGGCATAGAAGGAATTCCCCCAGTCGTAGTGGCCAGTGAAGGCTGAGGGGGTGCAATCTCTTCCTGGCAAGCCCAACCAGTCGAGCTACTGGAACAAGTAACCCACATGGGCATGGCAGGGCTGAAAACTAGCGTACACCTCGAATCGGTGGGTAGCAGGAAACATGTATCTGTTCACAAGGATCTCTTTTCAGGCTTAGTGTTGATGGACAAGAAAAGGCCAGAACCCTACTACCTGCCCGCTGGCCCGTTCGATCTGCGTTTGAGGACTGCGAAGACGGTGTCTGTGGGCAATGCCTCCGGGTGATTTGTTTCTCTTGTCTCTTGTTGAACAAAAGATACCCCGCCAAGGAAAGAGTGTATAAGAAAAAAGAGTTATAAATGTTACGGCAACTGGAGCGAGCTAACTTCACCTGAATACACAGACTCAGACCAAACCACCCAAACCATTCTCAAAGGTCGGGCTGGACCTGCTTGTGAGCCCGAGGATTATAGCAATGACAACTAGTCAAATAGTCGATACATGTCAATAACAATGAGTCTCAAAGGAACCCAACTTCAAAAACACATGATGGCGCATGGCAGGCAGCACATGTCGCATATCTCCTGAGTGTGGTGTGGTAGGATATGGATGCTTGCAACCCATCTGTTCCTGCGAAGGGGAGGTCTTCGGCTGCTGAACTGCAGGCATCGCAAATCGAGCTTCATAAGCGACAAAATTATCTCCCGTGTAGTAGTCGCTTTCAATCTCATGGTTCCCTGGGCAAACCATCCTCAGACATTAGATCGTTCTCCTTCAAAAGGCCCCCCTTTTTGGTGTGCATTTACTTCCATGATTGAACAAAGTGAAGCTGTGACTTCTGTCACTTTCCTGGCAATCAAGGGCATCTCCTTGTTTGGTCTTCTCCTGATTGGTTCCTTCACTTTGCAAAAACGCAATGATACCCTGGAACAAAAGCTGCGGTACTCAAACGCGTTGAGACCCTCCCGCCTATGAAAACTTGGGAAAGGAGGCCTTTGTTCTAATTGGTAATTCTCTCTGAACGATTCTCAAGAAGGCACTCAAAGACTCAAAGGGAGGTTCCCTGGCAAGTACATGAATCTTGCACAACCTCACAGGTCCTTTTCTTGCACAACCTCACAAACAATCACAACAGCAGCAGCAACAACAACAACACTGACTGCTTGCATCTACTCACACATCATCCATCACTTGCCCTACGGCCCTACGGATGAGGCATACCCCATAAGTACTTACATCTCTAAACTCATCGTTCTCATCTGAGCAGCCGCTAGCACGCTCGTGTTCGTCGCCCCCTCCCCACACAGCTCCCCAGCCCCAGCCCAAGCATCCACTGCAAACGTGAGGCCAAGGGCTCCACGGTGAGCCCATAGCTGTCCCATCGTTTCTGGTCCGTGTCGGCGTAGGACATGTCGCCCGCGTGCAAGACCAGGCGGATCAATGGATCCGCATCCAGGTGCCCTGGGCGATGGCGATTGGGGCAGTTGGAGCGATGGGGGTGAACCATGGCCGCCACGGAGGAGGGGTTGGAACCACAAAACAGCTAGCCGCAGTCACTAGTTTGACTACATAGTGACTACAAGCCAAAACCAGTCATTCAACGCAATCGGTCCATTTGACTTGTATCCTATTCTCTGAGGTCGCGACAAAGGGAATGGAGCCCCAGTACTCGAGGGGTGGAGGTGTCAAGAACTGCTCCCGCCCTCTCCCTTCAGAATGTCAACCGGCAGGAAATTCATACTGGTTTGATGTTCCGTCTACCAAACGCATCTGAGCTGAAAAGCAAAGCAACAAAGATAACAAAAGTGGAGAAGTCATCAGTTTGCTACAGCCAAAGAAATGTTACAAACCATTCAATGATACTGTTAAGAATAATTGTCCGCTCTCACCTCTTTCGGTTCTTTCTTGCCCAGGATACGGATGGTATCCTGGGAATCTGCCGTCTGCCCCAGATCTCCAATGACTCCCAGCGCGAAGGGGAAGCGTGCATCCGTCACCGCGCCCGCGGCTGGCGGCTCTGGGGCTGCCGAGGAGGGAAGTGTGCGGAAGCGGCGCTTCACCGTGGCCGGGTCGCCGCGCAAGGTGTACTTGTACTCGCCTAGATGGGGCAGACAGGGCAGACAGAGACAGTCGCCCAATGCTGATGGATCCAGAGGAATGAGATGATGCGAAATGAGGGAGGAAATGCAAAGACAGAGCTGGTGTGATGCGGGACTGAAGATCGAGCTGGATGAGATGGATCCAAATCTTGATCAGTCTGTTTTCCACAATAATAATGTACGGGAATTGGGGATATCCGTGATTTAATTTGGATGACAAAATACCAACACCTGCCGTCGGAAGAACCCCCATAACTCAAACACCCAGACGACAGACTTTTCTTGATTAGATGATGAATGTCAACTACAATTCTTCCTAAAGAAACTGCCCAACCAAACCCCTTTTGCAGGTTGATCACCAATTGGTAGACCACTGGTCTCCCAGTGGAAAAAGGGATTTATATTTTTTCCGGGTTTTTTTCAGATTTTTTCCGGTAATGTTTTTCACGGTTTTTTCTCCTACTGTTTTTGCTTTTGCTTCTGCTGGGAGTGCTTTACAAGAACTAGGAGCAGCAGAAAGGGCAGGGGACGAAGCACCAAAGCCAGCGTGACAGTGACAAAGGGAGGGAACAGAAAAGGTATTCCACTTACTAGGGACGTCTTTGCGGTTGTCTTTAGCTTCACTGGTTTCGGGTTTCTTTGGGCTCGGTTTCTTGTCTTTAGGGTTTCTTTAGGCGTTCTTCCGGAAAAGGCATCCCACTTAAACGAAGGAGAAGTAGGAGGAGAGAGGAACTATAATAGAGACTTTTCTGCGGTTGTCTTTGGGTTTCAGTGGTTTCGGGGTTCTTTGGGCTAAGCAAAGTAGAAGTCCACCTTTGTGGCAGTGTCAACGCAAAGAAAATAGTTGTTGTGGTAACTGTGGCAAGACTCGTAGCGGGGTGGTTCGAGTGATAGAGGTATTGGAAATAGTAGGGGTGGTGGACGGTAGTGGCAACTATTTAAAAAAAGAAAAGCGGGAGGGGGGGGGGGGGGGGAGGGCGCAGCGCCTCCCCCGCAATGCAAATCAAATATAGACAGCGCTGGGCTGCTTCGTTTCTTGATTGGTGTAATTGGGTGTCAAAGCTCAAGGTGAAGGTCTTATCATCCAACTTTGTGGCAGTGTCAATGCAAAGAAGATAGTCAGCAGAAGCAAAAGCAGAAGCAAAAGCAAAGGCAGAAGCAAAAAGCAAAGCCAAAGCAGAAGGAAAAGCAAAAAACAAAAGCAAAAAGCAAAAGCAAATGCAGAAGCAAAGGCCAAAAGCAAAAAGCAGAAGCGAAAGCAAAGCAAAAAGCAAAAGCAGAAGCAAAAGCAAACACAAAAAGCAAAAGCAGTAGGGAAAAAAATGCGAAAATGATTCCCGGAAAAAATCTGAAAAAAAATCCCGGAAAAATAGGGGTTCCTGGAAAAAGCACCCCACGTGTCGGGGTCAGCCCTATTGAAGCCAATGGCTATTGGCCACCAGCCCTTGCGCGACCACGCGATGGATGCGTCCGCTGGTGTAATTCCCATACAGCTCCGGAGCGGCACCAAAGGAATATCTCCTCAGCGCGGCCGTTCAGCGCTTGGACCGTCCGGTCCAACCGTATACTGAGGAGAGTGTTGAGTGGAGGAAAAACCGATCAATGGAACAGGAAAGGAGCAACCTGTCAATTGGACGTGACACAACAATCATTACAGTATATAAATGGATACGCACTAAATATGTATCACTAAGGTCACTAAGTGTGCTCGGGGTTCCAGCAGCAAGTATCCTGCAAGAACGGTTGCCTTAGACTCCATCTGGAAAGGACCTTTGGCGCTAGTGGTCCCTTGATTGATGGGTATGCAGGGACATGTTCCTTCCCACTGAGTATTCTAGAACTGCCAATCCTGTTTCTGCAAGCCTGCATCGATGTGTTCTCAGATCACCCTCTTCCTCTGTTTTCATAATACCAAATATAAGACCATATCATCCATGTCATCACCACGCCAAGTCTCAAGCAGCTTCCCACAATTCGCCACTCTGGGATGCTGCCGTTGCCCTCGTTCGGCTCCTCGTTCCCGGTCAACGGCCCACTGACCCAGGCGACGGCCGCCTCGTCGCACGAGCTCGGGTCGTCCCGAGTGTCGTTGGTGAGCCAGGTGATGCTGACCTGGCAAAGCTCCGTTCGTAGCGTCCTCTTGTTCCTAGTAGTAAGAATGCTCCTAGTGGCGATGCCAGGAGCCACTTGTTCCTAGTAGGGATGCCCTTTGCTCCTAGTAGCGATTCCCTAGTGCGGGGAATATGTCACCATTGTTCTTCGGGAGTGGTAAATTAACGGGGTAAACAACCACATCGATATGATGCAATTCTTACCAGGAACCCAAAGCCGTTGCTAGGAAAACCCAAGTACCAGAGGTTGCCAGAGGTTGACTCCGCAGTGGCCGGTGTATGATGTATTATCTTATGAAATCTTATGACTTATGACGCCAGTATTTATCGAGCTGATCGTTTTGAGTTCAAGGTTGGTTCCCACAAACCCAGCGAGAAAGCCTCGGACCACGAGGCTTAATGACATACCCTTACCCTCACTCCCTGGCATCTACCCCAGCCTGGCTATCAACTTGGCTCCCAGCTGCTAGGGCCACTTGCTGTGGGACGTGCTCCGCCAGCGCATGGAGGAACCCCACAAGCACCTCCCAAATCAAACTGCTCATGTTCCAAAATCAGAATCCTCCAACTGCTCCTCATCTGCTGGTCGTATTCCCATCTGTCTGGGGAGATTCTGGGGGTCTCCCTGTGAGGCCATTCCGAGTGATCTTGCTGTTTGGAAAAGGACGAAGGAAGAGGAAATCCGGTTGATGGACATGCAATCTATGGGTCAGTACCATATAAAATATTAACACCACGCAGCCGTTGGTCTATGTCGGCAAGTGTCAAGCAAGCATGAAAACAAGGTTGTGGCATCCGGCGATGCATTTCACCAAATCACGAATCACAAATCTGTTCACTTGTGTTTAATCCCTGACTTCAGTCGCTTCAGTGAAGCGCCAGAAAAAGAAACTCATCTGAGTGGCCCGGCTTTGAGGTGACGCATCTTCTGCAGAGTGCAGGGCTCTCACGTGCTCTGGCAGGATTTGAAAGCTGGGATTCTTCCTCGTCTGATCCCTAGTCTTTTTCTCTTGAGCAGAAAATGGCATGACCAAGTCAAGGCTAAGCCGGTGATTCTGACTCTGCCGCGTCGCTTTTGCATGCTTTTGCATCCAAACATGGGGGAGGGTGCTTCTTCAAGCTCCTGCAGATTGAAGCTACAGAGACCCCAAGTCTTATAGTCTTATCTTAGATCATCTTATCATCTTATCCTTCAAATGAGTTGCAGGTTGTTACATGGTTCCTTTACTTTTGGTGAGGTCTTGTCTGGTTACGCTGTTGCACCTTTTCTGGACGGGCGATGACGGGCGGTTTTTTTTGGCATTGACCTGCACCTGACCTGCGGCTTCTAGTTGGCCACCTTGGCCAAGGACTTGCCTTGATACTGAAGAAAGAAATCCTGCCTGCGCCACCTCAAACACAGCAAAGATTGCAAATAGCAAGGCTAGACTCATTTGAGGAGGTGCAGGACTTCTCCCTTCATCAGCAAGAATAGCTTAAATTCGATGAGGCAAAGGCTATGTACAGCAAAGCTTTTGGCAGCAGCATCAAAGCAATCCTCTCCCTGAGAAGGAGTCTGGGGATCCAGGGTGGTGACATTCTGCTCACATTGAATCTTGACAAGCTACTTCAGTTTATGCCCATTGAGAAATATTCTCATCCAAATCAAGCGCCGACCAACTCAAGACCCTCGGCTCGCAAGTGCCCTCTTCTCTCGTCAAGAGTCGATCTTCTTTCGTCAATCATCCGTTCTTCCCAGCTCACTTCAACCAGGAAGGTTCTACAAGTAGAATGCAGGCAGGCTCCGATGAGCCAGGTGCGTGAGGAAGCCCGACATGCAGCAGGTCAACCTGGGCCCCAAGATCCCAAGCTCTGAAAACACAAGCCACAACGCAGTTGGCCCCTTGTTTAGAACATGTATAGTAATTATCCAGATGTACCCAGCATGTGTATTTGAAAAAACATCTTGTGGATTTTGGTGGATCATGAAATGGCGGGAACCGTGTGACCGGAGAATGTCACAGTTCTTCCTGCTTGTGGCAGCAGTGGAACAACAAGAACAAACTCAATTACATGGTTTGTCAGTGCTCAAGGCTGTTAACTGTTCAGGGATTCTGAGCGCATTTGTCATAATGAATGGATTTCTGATCTGCTAAGCACCAACCCGTGATTGCATGAAGACAGTAAAATCATTTGGGATATAATCACACTTCCAAGACCTCCTCAAACAACGTTTCAGTGGAACACCCTTTGTTCCTCACAAAATGATGTATAGCCACATGCATCCGTCTTGGTTCATTCAGGCCGCTGATTTTGTTCCACAGCCCGAAAATCGGCATTGGCTTCAATCCCATGTTTGAGACGACAGGTCCATGTTGGTACCTTTACACAAATCGGTCTTCTTGTGATGTCTGTTCTGGAAGTCCTGCCAAACTCTTGAACAAAGCTGAAGAAGAACACACACACGTATATATATATATAACGACATACATGTACACGTACAGTATGTATTTAAAAAAAGAAACAGCTCTGCGGCTCTGCAGGTTCCTTTTGAAGCCTTGGAGTATGGAGATAGTCTCCTCTCTGTCTTCTGCGTCCATCGTACAGCACGACCATGCATATACATAATCATATTCTAATGGACGACAGAATAACAATCTAAGAAACTAATTGAAACCCATCCTGCGCAGGATGTGGATAATATCTGCCTCACTATAAGTACCAAACGAAAAGGTGGAAAGCTCCGGGACACTGGCTGGTGCTCCCGGCTGGTGCAAGTAACTGGAACTGCTTTTCGCCTCAAACTGATATAGAAAATGATGAAAGCCTTGGAAAAATAAACCAGTCCTGTGAAATTCATTGGTGAACTCAGAACCCGCCCCCCAGTCGACTTTGGAACTCCATCTCAGTGCCCCAGCTGACAGTGCTCCGTCGCCCAACTGCTGGCACACCAGTTGGCATGATCCTGGTGGTCTCGACAGTGATCACTGTGCAAGCACTGCAGGCCTTGGAAGCTGGGCCACAGGAAATGATGTGCTTCTTTTCTATATATATATGTTTGTGTTTTTTTGTGTGTGTGTTGAGTGTTATGCACGATGGTTGATGGGCCACATTGTTGTGGCATGGTATAATAGCCGCCAAATATATTACATTATATTGCTTCACGCAAATGACCACAGGTCATCCTTTTCGAAACATAGCTCTGCAGCCGGGGTCCCCTACTGTAGGGACAACGTGACAACATATTCAAGTCTTTAAGGACTCACTGAGAGATGCCTTCCCCCACCCCCAGGGGTTAGGCTGGTCATTGCAGTCAAGGAATTTGGGTTTTGAATAGTTTGTCTATCGACTGAAGCTCCTGGCCATGGCCGTATGGTACAGGTGTCAATGTTTGAACAGATTTATACACAGGCATAGCATAGACACGAACAGGTTCTTTGGGTAAGGGCTTCTTATGACAGAATACTGATGTTTGCATGATATCCTCAGTGTCCTGAAAGCCCTTGGTCACCAGCCACAGAAAGGAAAAGGAGATGAACGTACAAAATGCTGCTCAAACAAAAGGTGGCAGTTGATTGCATCTGATTGCCATGTGCGATTCAGCTCCCCGAAATAACCATAGGTCAATAACTGTTGATACGATCCAATTGCAGGAGATCAATCCGCTGGACGCTGGACTTCATTGGTCAACCATGGTCAATCATGGTCAATCATATCAAATCCCCATCACAGCTTGTGCAAAGGCTTGGCTTGTCTTGTTGAAAGGCTTGGCTTGGTATTTCAAGTCCTGAATGTCTCCGTCCTCGCGCAGCGACATCGCCGCGATGTTCTCTCGTGTTCTCTGAGGTCGCTGCAGGCGCTGGTGCCAGTGGCCCCGCTGGGCCTCCGAGGATTGGGCTTCCAAAACACCGCAGGAAGACATCCTTTTGCTTGGCATGTTCCATGTTACTTAAGTTGATCTTGATCTAGTTAGTTACTTTGGTGATAAGTACAATTCGAGGGTGAATGTCCGATGTATTTGGACATTCTGGAACCTTTCGAACCTTTTCTTGGCCCGAACGGCCTTTTCCACCAATTGATTGCAGGTATACTTACAGGTATCTGAATGGGGCGTCCCGCATCCCCAATCCACAAATCGAAAGCCTCCAACTTACGGTCCTCAGGGCTGGTCCTGGCTCAAAGGATCCTGCAAATTCATCCATGTACGCCTATAGAAACGGTACCCTCCCCGAAACAATCATGGAAGTGGAAACAGTATGCCTGTTCATAGAGGAATTCAGTCTTCCTTCCGGGTCTATGTTCCACTTTCATGTTTGTTGGATGGAGGGTACAACAGCATGATCGGGAAGAAAGACAACTGATGGCTAATTTCTGTTGGCAAAGGAAAAGACCGTGGGAGTCGCAGCGCCCGATGCTTGTGGCTCTGAAAGTTCCATAAAAAGCGACCGTCTGGACCAGCTGTGACTGCTTTGGGAGGAAAACACATGAGGTTGATGGACCTGAGACACCAATCTCCGGCATGATGAATTCCTGAAGGGCAAACAAAACCAACATCATGCGATGGTGGATCATGGTCGATCCGTGGCCCAAGCCCGAAAATCGATCCGTTAAAAATCCATCGACCCAATGACCCAAAGATCGACCCAATGACCTGTCGCCGTGCAGTGTGCCGTGCAGAATGCAGATCTAAGTCTCCTGCCATGAGGGGTTGTAGCTATCCTTGTACCATCCTGCAAAGTGGGATCCGAGTGTGATGACTTTGAACACTTGAATTAGGCGTCTTCTCGGACTGTTCATCTGGGTCAAAGGTGAATGGAACAATGGCAAACCTCTAAAAAATGCCTGTAAAGTATGTAAAGCAACTCAAAGCACAAAGAAAGCGTTGATATAGCTGCTAGATACTCTGCTAGATATCTCAGTCAAACCGCCTCAAAACTGCTCTGCAGAGAGAGATGCACGCTCTGGCCAGACCACCGGCACCGGTCCCTCCCCTTCCCCGATCGACCAACACAGCCGCAGGACGTTGGCAGTGCGACTCGGCGCATCGATCAACGCTCAGCAAGCCAGCCCGACAACACCTGAGCACCGAACGAACGTCGACCCCGAAGAGAGCCACCCGCTATCCCAGCCGGTGTGGGGTTTCCAGAGCCATGGTTCCATGGCCATCGCTTGGGGGCAAAAGATCCGAGCCGAAGAGGAAGACTCAGAACTATCAAGAGTCAAGAGCTACTATAACATCTCATAACTACTTTGGGTCTATCCTATAACGAGTCGCAGTGGATGATGATGATGATGATGATAGGAAAGACCCAAATGCTACTCATGTCTACTTTTGCCCAAACCAATGGTCCTCCAAACATGCCCAGCTAAATGGTTCGTTTCATTCGTCTAATGCTTTTCAGCAAATCTGGATATTCCTGTTGACCCAGATCCAATTGCCCACGCAATCTCACAAAGAGCACTTATCCGGAGAATTGCATCATTGTGAATTACTGCGAGAAGAACAAAAGGCCAACAATTCTGCCAAATGACAGTTGTGTTTTTTGATATGTTTTGAGGAGGCCGCCCCCGAAGGGTCTCCTCTTTTTCAATGTGCAGGGGGGGGGGCGGCGCGACGTGGACTCGGGCCCCCCCCCCGGGGGTGAAAGAGTGACTAGGGCGTACACGGTAGAGGTGCAGACCGCTAGTGTCTTTTATGCGCAGAGTCTTATCCTCTTGCTCTTTAGGTCCATTGACCCTCTCTTGAGCCTTGAAGCAGTCAAGCATGGACACACTATATCAGCTGTTGGAGTGGAACCCTGTACAGGTAGGCTCTACTTTTCAGCAGGCACAAGATTCATGTCCACTTCTAGCTGATTGCGTATGTCGCATACTCTTTTCCTACTGCAAGGCTAAAACAGTCCAGTTAGCTCTGACAACTTAAAAGAAAACTACGGTGCCATGTACTTACCTAATCCGGTGTGTTTCACACTTCAGAGAAGGTAATCTCATAGCTACTAAATACAGTGAGGGAGCAATAGCTGACTCACCTCAAGTA